GCGTTGAATAGAAATTACACAAATACGAATTACTACGTATCAACCAAATACAAGTCAGCACAAAAGAAAAGACACAAATCAAATTGACAAATAACAAATACTAGTGCGATCAAATCAAGTTAAATTCAAATTGCGCAAATACAATTATTACTCTTTAGTTCAAATATAAATTACAGTATAAACGAAGATACACATCACGGCCGATCAACAAAAAATGCCTAGCTCGGAAATCGACCCTTCGATAAGTAATCCACTACAACTATCCGACAACGATAATTAACCGATTACGTAAAAATAACCATCTACCTACATGACGTATATCTCTAGAAAAACTCCCGCTTGCGCAACCTAGGGCGCGGCTTTTCAAATCTACCCACTAACCAAAAAAAGGCAAGCAACAAAGAACAAAGGGAAATAATTCTATTATTACGTACAAAAAATATTTTTACGTATTACGGACGGGCGTGATTGTAGATACAAATTAAACCAATCAAACCAACGCTCCCTGCCACCAGAATTGTTTAATGTTTATCAAACACTATGGTCGGGATCGACCGGGAATCGAACCCGGAACCGCGCTCTGCTACCAGTATGTTACGGCCTACGGCTGCTCCCTTAAAGGATCAGATCCTCAGGGGCCCATGAGCTGAAGACCTCCCGAGCAGACGTAGGTCGGGCTCAGTGTGGCCACGTGGAAATTCCTAATTACATTAAAATATATGGGGGAGCGTTATACTACGGCCAGTCGACCGGAAGGAATTTGGATGAAGCTTACTTACCTATCCCAGGCGACTGGTCCCTCCGGAGTCGGTCAGGTCGCATGTGGTTGTGTAGTGCAAGGGAAAGAATGGTGATGTGGTGTGTATCTGGGTGTGACTGATGGTGATTGAACCTAGACCTTGGCAGCAGCCCGAGCGTCGACACCGCTCCCTCTTGAGGGGGCCTTTCGAGGTTATCCACAGTCACTTTCTTCTTTCGTCACGTTGACAGTCAATTAACTCTATCGTACGATTTACTAACTTACAGATGCCACTAACTATCGCTGGGTATAATGGTTACCGCACAAACGCACACGGAGTTTAAAGGGTCAAAGGTCACTACCGTTTCGCGTAGCAATAGTTAATTCTAGAATATCAGAGGCCGCACTATCTAATATTGCCGAATGCACTTATGCAGGTTTTGAGTCAGACACAATAAGTCCCGGGAAGCTCTCCAGTAGGAATGCGCGTCACAAATCCTAGACCGTATATTTACGGGCCGCACCTAATGATTCCGAGTTCCCTAACAGAATGGACCGCGTGCTCACGTCAGCACCGATTAAAGACGACTGAATGCCCTTGGGCGTTTTTCGCACGACCGAAAGTCAAACCGGTATAAATGCACCGAGCCGAGTGCCCTCTCTCGTCAATCCTTGAAAGTGTTTTGCGCGAACAGTTGTAGTAAAAACATAAACGGTTGTTCACTATCTAATTATGCATCGAATAAAATTATATCCGAGTGGATAAAGCTATTTGTTCTCAAGTTGTGCAGAACGACAAAAAATTACTAACATACCACACATACGATACTCGTATAAACATAATCCATCTTAAACTGCAGAATCTGATTCTAAGAGCTCCATAAACTCTTGTACGAATTGCACGAATTTCCAAATGAGAATTTTATAATAACCAGGAAGAACGTTCTTAAAACCATTTACAGTAATACGTATATTTCCCTGCCTAAACCCCTCTCAGGAATGAGAGGCCTGTGACCTATACAACATTATTTTGCAACAAGCGGCCAAATTTGCAGAGAAGATTCAGAATAAGTAATATAGGCTAATGGTGAAGAAAACTTAATTAAAATAAAATTTCAAACATTCTGTCCTTTTAATCTTTTAAATTCAAAATGTGTGGTAATGCATTATTTTAACTCATTGTCAATCTTACACAAATATAACGCGTAATATTTTACTACGCACGTCCATATTCGTAAGGGTCAATCGGTCGCCAAAAACGTTGTAAATTGAATCACACACAGAGGCGCACACGTAAGTGTAGTTGCTCATAAATCACATTCAATTTGGGATAATTTTAAATGTGTAATAACGGTGTATCATTTTTTATATATTCAAACTTAAGTTTAGAATTTGGCTACACTTTGAAAAATAGCCCTATATAATATGCTGTAACTTTATTTTTCGTTCATTCATGAACTTTTTACAGCTGCAAGAAGTTAATTTAATTTAATTTATTTGTTTAGGCAATTTGAAGATACATAGGTATCTATGAATGTACATAACATAAATACTTAATGACTATGCTAGTATATAAACACTGACAATTTTGACGAAAAATTCAGTCTGGAGGACATAAAATAATAATAACTTAAAGCACTAATAGGCATTTATGAGTTTCACCCTCAGAGGTCCATCCATTTTTCCAGCTATCATGCGCAGACTATTGTTGCTGTTGTCAAGGACTCTAGTTAATAGCGATTCTGTTTTCTTGCACATCAAACACATGTGCCCAAGTCATGACAAACAGCCGACGTACTACAGAACCAAGGCTGCCACAACAGCCTCTTAATTGCATTGTCATATTAGACTCAGAATATTGTTAGCCCTCTGCATATATTGGAGCAGTACGTTTTGGTAATCGTTATCTGCACAGCGTTTGTAGACACTTTGCAACCCACCATATTCGCCCGGACTGAAAATGCTCTGCTTTTTCTCTCCATATTAGCATCATATTATGTATATATGATGCTAATATGGAGATACTCGTAATAGTATAGTTGTAGCGCGAATGGCTCAACCGGGAAAGGACCTAGCACTCACAGAATACCAGCGTAAAATAGCAGCTTAATGCTGCTGTGTTTCGTGGGGTGAGTGTAGAGAACCGGAGACCTGTTTTACTGGAAAAGAGGCACTATATCTTAGTCCTCACGGCTGACAACGCTAATTATATTAAAACAAATTTTAATTTGCAAGCGAAGATAGATGCAGATGTCTATGGACCACAGCAACCACTTACCATCAGGTGGACTGTGTGCTCTTTTGTCACCCTAATTCTATAAAAAAATTCTCTCATTTGTGGACTTATAGAGATGAACTCTGTCTTATTGACATCATAATTAAAATAATGCGTTGCAACGACTCAAATACAAGAAGTAACTTAAGTAGTGTGCTAGTTGTGTGATGCAGCAGCACCATGTCATCGACACAGTTGAAGTCATGACACATATATTATCCACGTAGCTGCCTAGAGACATACCGCGTTGTTGCTGAGTCATCAGCTCATTCAAGTGCAGGCTAATAATAATAAAATAGAGCACAACATTGCTTTTAATGTTGCGCTCTATTTACCACGTACGTAAAGATTGGATGGAAGGTGGCGTTACCACCTTCCATCCAATCTTTACGTATCCAAGGTCTCATGTGCCCACTTCAGGTGGACTTTTACAAAGTCAGGAGTTTTTAAACGATTGGTAATCATTTAAAAATTCACTGTAGGTTATCACCGTGGCAACATTGTCCATCTTAACTAATGACTATAATTTAACATAGTATTGTATAGATAGTAAAAAAAATTAAAATTAAGAACAGTAGACCCAATTATTAATTGAAATAGTTTAATGGTTATCTTTTACCATTAAACTATTTCAAAATACGTAATAAATACAAATTCAACTTTACCGCCAACATGTGCCAGCGTCGACGCCAGACATTTCGCCCATATTATTATAAATAGTAGCCTTATAATCTTCAACATTAAAATTCTAAAATTAAGCGGATATAATAATAAATAAATAATTAATAATAATATATGAAATTGGTTATGTAACATTTACACGGCCCTTTATTTAATACTTGGTATTTTACTTAATATTTAAATTACGTAGGTATGCATTTTAAGTGATTTGTAGTATCCACTACCTATGGTTATGAGGGGAGTGAGGTGATTAACGCCCTGATTTCATAACTAACCAAGGCTACCCTAAATCATGCATTACTTTCTGCATGTTTTTCTTCTCATAAAAGTAATATTGACATTCTTTGTTTCACAAATGGGCATATTTCAGAATTTTCCACTAATTTTATGAGTGTCTTATAATAAATAGACATTTTTTAATGTTTTTTATAAACATTAACCAAAATTGACAAATTATATATAAATATATATTGGAATACTATCAGAAATAAAAACAAAACTTGCAAAGATTCAAGAAAAACTTTTCAGTCTGCCCAATGGAACGAGTACCTAGTTGTTGTTTGTGCTTAAGAATAAAAAAGTGCAATACAAATATCACGTTTTAGAGCCATTTTTATTTCTTTCGGATTTCTAGTACTGATATTAGGGTAAAAATTAAAATATTTGAAACTTGATAAAACTAAATAAAATTCTATAAAATAAATACTAAACAACAAAGCAAAAGTCCTCCTCGAAAGTCAAGGCCATTCCCGCGGCCTCCGCCTCCATTATGGCGGCTGCGGAGGCCAACTTTGCTGGGGCTGGGCCTAATGCGGACGAGGTGGCGAAGCTGCGGGCGGACGTGGCCCGCCTGACGTCCGCCTTGGAGACTCTCCAGAAGGAGAATGAGAAGCTCCGCGCAGACCTGGCCAGTCTGCATGAGCCTGCCTCTCGCGCGGCGCCCCAGACGCAGCACCCAAGCCAGCCCGTGCCGGTGGAGAACCAGGTTCTGAACCTGGTCCGGCAGGAGCTGGATGCCTTCCAGCACCGGTTATCCGTGCTGGAGGGCATCGTCCTGCGCCCCCCCCCCCTAGGGGCAAACAAGACGGCGGCGAGGCCGGCAACGGTTTCCTACGCGACGGCCACGGCTGCCAAATCCAGGCCGGGGCCGTCCAGCCAGCCCTCGGGTGGGGCTGCAGTTGCCCCTCCCCCCCTGAAAAGCCGGCTCCGGCAAAACCGATACCGGCTGAACCGGCTCCGGCTAAGCCGGCGACGGGAAAGAGAGGCAAGGCGAAGGCGAAAAAGGGCAAGGCGGCAGCACAGGTGATGGCTGCGCCAGCCCCAGTGCCTGCGGCGAATGGGCCAGCGCCAGCGGCAAGCCAGCTGCCACCGCCGCCACCGCCCCCCCAGCTCCCTACACCTCCCGCGGCAGAAGCCGGTTGGCAGGTGGTCGGGGAGAAACAGAAGGGGAAGAAGGCAGCCAAAAAGGCCAAGGAGCAGGAGCGGCAGCGTCAGTTCAGGGCGCGCAAGATCGCGGCTAGGCTCCGCGCCCCGAAGACCGCAGCTGTAGTGATTACACTACAGCCGGACGCGGAAAAGAAGGGCGTTACCTACCGCGATCTGCTCGCGAAGGCGAAAGAGGCGGTGGATCTCGGGGAGCTCGGAATCACTGGGGGCCTCCGGCTCAAAGTCACCCAGACGGGGGCCCGTATGCTGGAGATCCCCGGGGAATCCAGTGGCGCGACTGCGGACGCTCTGGCTGCGAAGCTCAGAGCGTCCCTGAACGCGGACGAGGCCCGAGTGTCCAGGCCCGTCAGATGCGCAGACCTGCGCATCATGGGTATGGACGACTCGGTATCGGAGGAGGAGTTGGTGGCCACCGTCGCCAGGTCCGGGGGGTGCACTACTGACCAGGTCAGGTCAGGCGCAATACGCCCGGACCAACAGGGTATGCATGCCGCCACGGTGTGCTGCCCTGTTACGGCGGCCAAAACCATAGTGGAGGGCCGAAGGCTTCTGGTGGGCTGGGTCTCAGCGCAGGTTAAGCTGCTGGAGCCCAGACCTCTGAGGTGCTACCGCTGTCTCGTGGGGCATCACGTATCAGCGAAATGCGCCTCGGAGGTTGACCGCAGTGGCCTCTGCTTCCGCTGCTGTCAGCCCGGACACATATCGGCGACCTGCTGCGCCACGCCGCACTGTGATGCATGTGCGGCGACCGGCAAGCCAGCCGATCACTGGGCCGGAAGCAGGGCCTGCGTGTCACCCGCCAAGGCCAAAGCCGCGGGTAGGGGAGGGCCCTCCTCCGCCGCCACCGCCTCTATGGCCACCGCCGCAGCTGCAACTGCCGCCGCCGCCGCTGTCACTGTCGCCGCCGCCGCCGCCGCGACACCAACGCCTGCAGAGGGGCGCCCCGTGGAGGAAGCTGAAATGGAATGCCTATAACGGCCCCATTAAGCTTCCTCCAGGCGAATATCAACCACTGCGCCTGCGCTCAGGATCTGTTGCTCCAGAGCATGGCGCAGTGGTCGATTAACATCGCTGTGGTCGCTGAGCCGTATTCTGTCTGGCCTAGGAAGGACTGGGTGGCGGACCTAAACGGCTCAGTGGCCATCATTTCTTCGGCCGCCGCCGGTACCCCGACCCTTGAAGGTGTCAGGAGGGGTCAAGGGTGCGTAGCAGCACGGTTCGGGGAGTTCGTCGTTGTTGGGGTGTACTTCTCCCCGAACCGATCTCTCGCCGAGCTCCACAACTCTCTTGCAGAGCTGAGAGCAGTCGTCGTCGGAAGCTATCCCCTCCCCGTGCTTGTCCTCGGGGACTTCAATGCCAAGAACTTGGCTTGGGGTTCTCGTCGTACAGATGTGCGGGGTAGGATGGTGGAAGACTGGGCTCTGGAGACAGGCCTGGTCGTCCTAAATCGGGGTTCTGTCCCCACGTGTGTGCGGATGCGGGTCGAGTCGGTGGTGGACATTTCGTTCGCTAGCCCCGCTCTGTCGCCGCGTGCCACTGACTGGCGAGTCATGGAGGGGGTGGAGACCTACTCCGACCACCGGTACATCCGGTTTGACGTCTCCACCCAGCCCTCGAGCACGCCAGTTCAACAGGCCCCGAGTGGTCCGCGTTGGGCGCTGAAGCAGCTGGACCGGGAGCTCCTCCTGGAAGCCTCGATCGTGCAGGCCTGGGTGTCATCAACGGATAGGCCTGCCGACGTCAATGATGAGGCAGGGTGGTTCCAAGAGGCCATGTCCGATATATGTGACGTGGCAATGCCCCGCGTCCGGCCAGGAAGCGCCCGGCGTCAGGTGTATTGGTGGTCGCGTGAGCTGACGTCTCTGCGCGAGGCGTGTGTCGCCGCGCGGCACCTGTACGCCAGGCATCGCAGGCTCCGCATTCGTCCACCGAATGCGGCAGCCATTGAGGCGGAGCTGTACGAGGGATAAAGAGCGGCGAAGACCGCCCTCCGGGAGGCTATCATGCGGGCCCGGGATCGGGCCCGTGAGGAGATGCTGGAGACTCTCGACAGAGATCCGTGGGGGCGCCCTTACAAGATGGTGCGGGATAAACTCCGCACCTGGGCCCCCCCGCTGACGCAGAGTCTCCGGCCTCAGCTCGTGGAGGACGTGGTGAGCGCTCTGTTTCCTGCGCAAGGGGAACATCCGCCCCCGCCTATGGCTCCGCCACCTGCGGTGCCGGAAGCGGACCACCAGGACGACGACGACGGCATCCCGGAAGGGACCGGGGTAGACCTGAGAGTGGCGGTACGTAGGCTCAAGGCCAGGAATACCGCCTTAGGACCTGATGGCTTGCCTGGCAAAGCCTGGGTCCTGGCCTCGGAGGCTCTCGGGCCCCGACTGGAGAGGCTCCTAAGCGCATGCTTGGAGAGAGGCCAATTCCCGCTTCGTTGGAAGACGGGGAAGCTGGTCCTCATTCGGAAGCCGGGGCGCCCTGCGGACTCTCCGTCCGCATACCGGCCTGTGGTGCTGCTCGACGAGGTGGGCAAGCTCTTTGAAAGAGTCATTGCAAACCGCCTCGCCGAGCACCTTGCGGGGACGGGGCCGGATCTTGCGGAACACCAGTTTGGTTTCCGCAAGGGGCGCTCTACGGTGGACGCCATCATGCGCGTGAGAGCCCTCACGACGGGGGATGCAGTGGCCAGGGGGGGGGGTTGTTTTGGCGGTGTCTCTCGACATCGCCAACGCCTTCAACTCCATGCCCTGGAGCTGCATTAGGGAGGCACTCCGGTATCACCGGGTGCCGACCTATCTCCGTCGTATAGTCGGGGACTATCTGACGGATAGGGCCGTCATCTACCCCGGTCGCAACGGTGAGTGGAACCGGCGAGAGATGTCGTGCGGTGTCCCACAGGGTTCGGTTCTGGGGCCGCCCCTGTGGAACATCGGTTACGACTGGGTGCTGCGCGCCGACCTCCCTACCGGCGTCAGCGTAGTTTGCTACGCTGACGACACGCTGGTACTGGCACAGGGGGGGTCGTACGAGGCGGCGGCGGAAACTATGACACGCGGGGTTGCGATAGTCGTTGAGAGGATCCGGCAGCTGGGTCTTGAGGTGGCTCTGCACAAGTCCGAGGCCATGCACTTCCATGGTCCTCGGAACAGGCCACCACCGGGATCCTCAGCGATGGTAGGAGGGGTATCCATCGGCGTCGAGTCGACGTTGAAGTACCTAGGACTCGTCCTCGACGGCCGATGGAACTTCGTTGAGCACTTCCGACGTTTGGCTCCCAAACTGGAACGGAACGGGGCTGCCTTCAGGCAGCTCCTGCCGAACCTGGGGGGGGCCAAACGCCTCCTGCCGGAGGCTCTACGCGGGGATTGTGCGGTCCATGGCCCTCTACGGGGCCCCGGTGTGGGCGCGTGGTTTGGCGCGGCTTGCCGTCCACCACCTGAACGCGCCCCAAAAGGTGGTTGCCGTGAGAATGGTTCGCGGCTACCGCACGATCTCCCGCGAGGCAGCGTGCCTCCTTGCCGGATTGCCGCCGTGGGATCTGGAGGCGATAGTCCTCGCGCGCCTGCACGAATGGCGCGCGGAGGCACTATGCCGGGGGGAAACCCCGCTGCCGCGGCAAGTTGCCGTGCAGCGGACAGACTTCCGGCATGATCTCATGGCGACATGGAGAGAGCGACTGTCGCAACCCCGTGCTGGGCACGCCACTATAGCGGCGATAAGACCCCTCTTTGAGGAGTGGCTTGAGAGACGCCACGGCGTCCTCACCTTCCGCCTGACGCAGGTCCTCACCGGACACGGTGTGTTCAGGAGGTTCCTGCACCAAATCGGGCGGGAGGAAACGCCCGGGTGCTCCCACTGCGAGGATCGACCAGAGGACACGGTGGAGCACACCGTGGAGGTGTGCCCTGCCTGGGCGGAGCACCGCCGTGTCCTCGTAGCGGCGATAGGCGGCGGCGACCTCTCGCGTCCGGCCCTGGTCGAAGCCATGGTCCGGAGCGAGACGGAATGGGATGCCGTCACCACCTTCTGCGAAGCAGTGATGCTAGCGAAGGAGGTGGTGGAGCGGGAGAAGGAGAGAGCAGCAGCTTTCCTTCCCGGCCGCCGCGGGAGACGCCCCGGGCGTCGGGGGCTACGTCGTGGCCCCCGGCCACCGTAGGCGCGGGCCTGTGGACGGCGAGCAATGGGTAGCTCGCCGTCCGTCCGTCTAACGACGACAGGCCGTGTCGACGGCGCATTTTGTTCCACGCGCGCAAAGAGCTGTCAGCAGCGTGAAGGGGCCCGCAAGGGCCGACGCCTGCCGGGGCTGCGGGCTGTTCGAAAGAGATACCGCGGCTCCGGAACGTAAGGGCACTGAAGGAACACGGATGGTTTTTAGTCAGTAAAAGTCTGACACTCCCTTCCGCTCCACCCAGAGCGAAAGGCGTCATTTGATGATTTTCCATCCGCAAAAAAAAAAAAGGGTTCCGTATCCGAAGGGTAACCAACGGGACAAAGCTGCAAGATGGCTTTACCACGTTAAAAAAAGTGTAAATTATCAAATGAATATAATAAATCAATATCCTTATTTGGTTATGTGCAAACTTTAAATCCTTATATTTTCAATAAATAAATCTCGCTGGAATAACATAAAATGAAGTGCATCGTTCCAGAGTCTAGCTTATTCACAAAGTCAAATATAGCAAATAAGTTTACTACGAATGTGGTAGAGTTACTGAGTTTAGCTTTATGAACTGAACTACTGGTTTGTGTGTAGTTTAATATTGTTTTAGAATTTTAAGTCATACTTTTATTTTTCAACGAATACTAGCAACGCTTTTAATATTTTTTATTTTAAAGACAGTACCCACAAACTAAGGTTTTCTCTTTTATCGTGGAAGCAATTTACATACACAAATTGCACATACAAATCATAAAATATACATGTAGACCATACAAAAGTAAACCATTATCTACTATAATCTATAATATATCTCTATGATTGTTGTAATCAGGCAATTTTAAAGTTTTTTTTTTAGATTTGAAAATATTAGCTATGGTATATAAATACTAATAATACATAGGCGGACTAGCTTTATTTGGCGTCTTGAAAGGAGTTGTCTTCTCCCCAGAGAAGGGGCCGCGAAGGTGCGGCCGGGCCTGAATGCGGCGAAGATGGAACACAGTTCGGCTTCAGTCAGTGCGAATCCGACATAGCCCATAGTTGCCCTCGTTAGGCGGGCAATTAAGGGTTATGTCGGATATACAATATCTACCTACCTAGTACAGTATTGCATACTCCTTTTATTCATGGAGATATACCTATTTCTCACACTCCTTTTATATTATAGATCACATACTTATAGTAATAGAATTCATTCATAAATAAAAAATTACGAGTATAGCCCCGATTAAAGAAGCTAATAAGTGAAAGATATTTTTGTGCGTATATTTACATGGTTTTATTTTTAATATTTTATACGTGGTAGAGTCATATTATATGCAATAGGTTGGATCGAGCGGAGAAAAACCACGCTACTACAGAGTACCAGCGTAAAAAAGCATCTTAATGTGTTTCGAATGGAGGGTGTAGAGAACAGGAGACGCTTTTATCTGGAAATGAGGCAATAAATCTTAGTACGCATCTGCATTTTTTAATCATAACGAGTATAGATTTAGATGTCTAAGGGCCACAGTATCCACTTATTATCGGATCGGCTATGTTTTTCGTTTGGCACCCTTAATTATAAAAAAAAATATTTTATTTTGCTTATGAACTAAAATGTCGTATAAATAGATATTTGTTCCCCTATTTACCACACTTAGTTCTTAAAATTTATCCAATTTGTAGTATTAACTTGCTTAATAAAAAGAAAATCATTTAAAATGCTTTTTCTTACTCGCAAATTGGAGAAAATACATAAATAACGTACTTTCTTTTTTTGTATTCGTCGTATATAATCCCTTTAAAATATAAAATATGATGATATTATAGTATAATATATATATATATATATATATATTATAGTATAATATATATATATATATATATATATATATATATATATATTATAGTATAATATATATATATATATATATATATATATATATATATATATATATATATATAATACGATGCGATATATTTTGTGTTTTACTTATGACATTAACTACTTAATAATCGATGCTCTGTATAAGTAATGAAATATCGGAAAGGATTAATTAAAAAAAAGCATGTGAATAGAGAAAACTAGTTTGATGTGCACTGTATATATTAAAGTCAGCTGTTTCAAAGCAAAATGTAACGCAGAAATTGGAACACACCTTTGACAGTAACAGCCTTTCTTTACCCCTTCGAATTTTGTATTTCGTGAATAGGCACCCAGTTATCGAGAACTCATATAGAGAAAGAATAGTGAAATAAAGGATGTAGGCATAGTTTTTAGAGTATCCGGGATGTTTTTCAAAAGCTTAAATTTTTGTTTCATCATCATAATCATTAACAATAACAACAACATCAGCCCATAAGGGTCTATTTTTTGTTAAATTAGTCGAGATGTAGGCATCAATAATGGTTCCAGGTCTGGATGTTTGTGCTTACGCAATTTAAGGATATAAACAAAAATATTGCATCATGGGATCTAGAACAAGACAGATCAAACTGTTTTGTGCCGATTTTCATGAATTGGTGGTTCAAAGATTACCAGACTTGAAATTGTTATGGCCTAGGCTTCCTTTTCTCTAATATAGAATAAGGTTGACAAAGGAGCAATCAGTTCACCTGATAGTAAGAAAATTTTGTAGCCCATAGACATTCTCATTTATCCTCTATCAACATTCATAAGGCATTTGATTTGTCACCCCTTGGACTGAGACCGAATGCCTCGTTTCCAGTAAAAAGGGTCTCCGAATCTCTACACATACCATCCAAAACACAGCAGCATTAAGCTGCTATTTTATCTGGTAATATGTAATAACGTGGTCCTTCCACGGTCGAGCCGACCCATTTGTGCTACAACCATAATATAGCAGTAGCATGGCTCTTCCACGTTAACTGGCCTGGACACATAACATTGAATAGTTTCGAACACTTGATTAAAAAAAAACACCTTCTAATTGTAATAAGTGTGATATCATTGAAGACGTTGACCTCGTAATAGTGGATTATGACCGAGTGATGTCAAGAGATTAAAATTTAAGACCAAAATTAAATGACATCGATCGGCTTTTGGATTTTATAATAGTATTCAGGGGAATCCAACTTCTGTAGCAGCTACGTTACTTTATAAAACGGTACGCAGTGTTATTAAGTAATATTGTGAAGCATAATAATAATTTTAAAGTCTTTACATCATGTTAAGTTATGTTCTCCATTATGGTAGAAGGATTTTTTTTTACGTCCATTTTCGACATGGAAAAGAATTCTTTAAAATAATAAATAAAAGAATAGTTGTAGCAAAAGTATACTTGGTAATATTGCTGAGCTATTATTCTCAGCAAGATTATCAGCAATTTTTTTATTTCCAAGCCCTTTAAAACGCCTCCTATGACTTCACAGAAGAAAATGATACTAAAGGGGTGACATCCTATTGTAAGAAAATGATGTGTTCATAGGCCACAGATCTTGTTAATTATCGCTTACCTTATGTAACATACATTTTTTTTATTTTTTTTTTATTGAATAAGGTAAGACAGTAGTTATATACAGTTCTAAAATTAAAAGTATGATGGTGTTGATCGAAACTGCAATCCAAAAAAAGTGTACACAGCTTAATAATATAACTACAGTAGAATAACAAAAATAAACAAGATAAAAAAATACATTAAAAATTAAGAGCAACACGTAAATTACTTTTATATCTAACAAGGCTACTATCAAATATATCTAGATGTACGTTACTACGCTAATCTCGTCATAATCACGGCACATTTTGACAACAGGGTTGAAAAAGGAAGTGTTATTCCTGTGTACGTATAACCTAAATATTCTTTGAACACGTTGACGTATACCGGAATTGAAGTTAATTAGTCTTAGTAACTCTGGGCAATCTATATGATAATGTATCTTGTGCAAGAAAACTTGTTCGGAAAATTTTCTCCTCAAAGATAATCGTTGGACATTAAAAAACTTTAGTCAAGAGTCGTATGATGGTAGACGACCCAAGTGACCATATCTGCTACAAACACTGCGTAGGAAACTTCTCTGCACCTCTCGATGCTGTCAGAACGTACCATATAAAAGGGTGACCATACAGTGGAAGCGTACTCAAGTACAGAACGAACCAAATTATAAAATAATCGAAGTGATGCGAGATGTTTGGAGAAATCTTTCATTACACGAATTATAAACCCTAAGGTTCTGACACTTTTTTGCGTAACATAATTATAATGTGGATGGAACTAAAATTTTGAGTCGAAATATACTCCCAAATCCTTAACAATCTCCTTGCGTATCAGAGGCTGGCAATTGATATTGTACTTGAATTCCAGGTGATTGTGTTTAGTAGTGAAGGTGATAACTAAGCAGTTACTGATATTTAAGGACATAATATTAGCGGAACACCAATCTTGAACTGCATCGATGTCTTTTTGCAATGCAATGCAGTCATTCGCGTCACTTATCACGCGATATATCTTCATATCGTCAGCATAAAGAAGGCAGTTTATTACCTTTAACCGCAACAATCTGGCTCCTCCTGGATAAGTACGATCTGACCCAACGAAGCAAATTACCATGAATACCATAGGCCTCTAATTTTGCACACAGTAACTCGTGATTGACCTTGTCAAATGCCTTAGAGAAATCAGTGTAAATTGAGTCCACCTTATGACGATTAGCAATAGCTGAGCTGATGTGATTGCTATAAATAAGCAGATTGCTTATCGTAGACCGACCAGATACGAAGCCATGCTGCATACATGAAATTTTCTGCTTAACATGACTGTATATGTGAGAATATATTAATGTTTCAAAAACCTTAGCCACGCAGGAAAGTATGCTTATGGGTCTATAATTATTGCATATTGTTTTATCACCAGATTTGTAAATGGGTATTACAAACTCATTTTTCCAAATTTTCGGGAAAGTATCCGTAATTAGTGACTTATTGAAAATAATAGACAATGGCAAACGAAGCACTTTTGCACACGTCTTTACAAATATAGCAGGAATTCCATCCGGCCCAAGGGCCTTTAAAGCATCCAATTTACAACAAGTTTGACGTACTATCTCAGTTGAAATACGTACATCAGATAAAGTAAGATGCTATCCGGTTTGTCGTACACAGAAGAAAAATATGTAGAGAAGAGTTCGCAGATGTCCTTCGGTTTGTCTGTAGTGTGAGATCCATAAGTCATGGATTCAGGTATATTTCCACTTGCTCTTTTTCTTTTGACAAATTTCCAGAATGCTTTCATATTACAGTTCAAACCGCTTTCCACATTCTGTAGTAAGTTTTTATAACACTCTTCTATTAATTTTTTTACTTCTTTTTCTCAATAAATTAAACGTGTCGTAATATCTTGGGTTGCCAAATTTCTTATACAGTTTATAAAATCTTAGTTTCTCTTTAATGCAACGAATCAAAGAAGGACTGTACCAGTATGGATATTTATGTGATGGACTTTTCTGCAGAGGTGTATAAAGAAGGATAACTTTGTTTAATTCGCGGTAAAATATTTCAACTGCATCACCTACATTCTCCTCGGCCAAAAGATGTTGCCAATTTGTATTAAGTAAATGACATTTTATCTTTATAAAATTGCATTTATGAAAATTTGGTTTCAAAGTGCCTGGGTTCTGCCTGATGGGCTTAAGTGCTTGCTGGTGTCCAATAGATATGTTCAAGCAAGGGTGATGCCTATCGGGTTTGATTGTAGGGAGTGCCGCAGTCACATGAACATCATCAAAATTTGCCAAAATTAAGTAGATCGTCCGGTCATTACAGTTTTTTAATTAAACTGTATCAAGCAACATAGAGCCATCATATTAAGCAAAGACCAAGCTTTTTTACTTAACCCTAAGCAGAAGGGATCATTTTTATTTCTTAAAATATATGTCAGGGATATTAAAATCCCCTAAGTTCATCATTATTTATAATAACACTTTTAACATGACCCATAAATCTTTCAAACTCATCAAGATTTAAGTAAGGAGGCAAATAACAAACACAAAGGTTTATCGCCATCGCGTAATTGTCATTAGGGAGTATAGATATCCAAAGATCCTCATAGTCACTGTCCCAGGTTTCGCGACGCATTACATTAAAACATTTTTTACAGCAAGGATAACAACTCCTCCCTCACTTTTTTGGTTAGTGTATACACAATCGCTTCTATCTCTGGGATAGACGTGGTAACGTTCATCAAAAAATTCCTCATTACACACACCAGCATTAAGGTTAGTTTTAGATAAACATATTGTATCATGGTCGTTATTTAATAATTCTAAATAAAACTCGGAAGTTTTAGAGTGCATGCGGTTTACATTCTGATAGTAACTTAACATGAAATTAAAGGAAAAATAAAATAAAAGCTTAAAATGATTATTAGAAAACACAAGAACTATATACACACAATTTAAGATGACACCTTCGATAGGAAATCCTTATTCTTTACATGTATAACCGATGACGTACCGTCTTTTCTGATGTATACATTGCCATATTTAACCCATATGTATTTGTATTGATCCCGTAATGTTATTCGAGTAGCCGAGTGGATTTCCTTGCACTCGGGTGACAGGTGCTCGGTTATGTAAATCAAGGATCTTTCGCCAGCTACACCAAGATGCACTGAACTTATCCGATCCTTTGGGTTGGCTTTGTTAAAACGTTTAACTGCTGTAATTAAATTGTCTCTGTGATGAATAGTACGAAGGCTCACTAGAATATTGCGTGGACGGCTTGCAGAAGTAGATTGTAACTTAGCAACTCTACGACACGCGCTGATTTCATCGTCATTGATTTGTAAGCTTACGGTGTTTTAAAGGTTTTTTATAATGCCAAGTACGTTTTAATTATGTTTTTCAGGGACGGCCTGTATTTCAACATTGCGGCTTCGCGAAACTTTTCCATAGATTCCAAGCGATTCTGCAAAGACGTGATATTTTTCAGACAATTGCAATTTTGTTTCTCTAGTTCGCTGATGTGAATTTCAACAACAGATAGGGAATCTTTTATATCTTTATTTTCTGACTGCGAAAAATCCGTCGTTTCAGGAATTCTTTTGTTTTTCAATAGCAGCATTTATTTTACTTCTGATGGATGACTTTTTATCAGAGAAGAAAGACTCCCTAAAACTTTTCAGTTTTGAGTCAAGAAGTTCGGCTATGTTGTTAAGTGTAAGATTGCCAGTGATGGGTACAGGCTCCTGAATACGGCTACCAGAGTCAGATTTATCTACATGGGTTATTTCGTCTATCGACATAGCGGAGTCATCAAGCGTCGCAGGACGTCGAGCGGACACCGGGGTGTTAGTGTTGTCCCCTTTTCGGCGAGTGGTAACATTTATACAAGTGGAACATTTCCATGACGTTCTTGCAACTCTGCTTAGATCCTTGTATGTTTCGATTTTTATGTTCACACATTGAATGTGATAGTCTTGTTTACAGTAAGCACATTTAATTTTTACTCTTTTACTTGGTGATGGTGGTGAGCTACCGCATGCTACGCAATAATCATCGTTGAATTTGGTGGACATTTCCACGTAAATAGAGTTATAATTTTTATGAAAATTTGTATATAAAGGCTGATCCGAGCTAGCCCCAAAAACTGTAATTTGTAAATAATGTTATTCCACATATTCAACTCCAACTGGGATTCAAATTCAAAACCCATTGCGTTATCTCTGAGTATTTAGACTAAGCAGTACTTTAACATCATTTAAATATCTGACATTTAACGCAACCCTTTGTTAATCATACTCCAAAGTATTCTATGAAGTTCGAAAAATTATGAAGGTAGCTGTACTGTATATATCAGAAATTTCGGTAACCGGAGCTAAAAAGAACGGATTGTTCCGGTGAATTTGCGGCGTGCTGCGGAAATTTGCTTTGGAGTTGCTAAGACTGTTTTCTTGTATCATGTTTTATATGAATTTTTAACAACATTGTAAATTTGGAGACTAGTAAATCTTCTTTTATTTACCTTCATCCAGTAGCTGTAATTAATAGTTTTTAATCTTGGCTAAGCATATTCATCTTTATATTGTCCCTCGAAATAAAAACTGTTTGAAGAAAATTTCGCAAAATTCCTTTGAATACCATTAAACTACTTATACTGCGAAGGTGTATGGAAGTGTATGGAAGAATTACATTCCCGACTACAAAAACTTTCTTTTGAAAAATTATTTTGTTCTTTTTAAATATTTAAAGTTGGCTTTTACTTTTATTATTATTAGTTTAAATTTTAGTTTTTGATAAGAATACTGAAAGGATCGAACAGCGGCTTCGGTGACCCGCCATGCAGTAAAGATCAACAGGTCAGTGACCTTCCATTCCTGGAAACTGATATCATACAACGTTTGGTTCGGAAACAACGAGGTGGGCGTGACCCCTGGGAAGGTTTGCCACTCAAAGACCGTCTGTACTCTTTCTTAAAAGAAAGGATAGACGACTATGATTACGGGTCCCTATGGAATGGTCCCAGTCTTGATGTCAGTCTTAGCGGACTGTATGGTTTTTAGGTAGAATAGGAAATAAAACATCGATTTATCTTCATAATTTGCCCATAAGAGTGCGACAGTGAAACTTTCACTACTTTTTCCTATCATTTTCCTTACTATCTTCTATCTTGATTTAAACTGGAAAACTAGTAGCTCGTCCCGAACTGTTTGTTTTTTTTTAAAAAACTGTCCTGAATGAATTTCCAAATTACCAGCCTCCTATCCTAGTACGAGCTATACGCGATAGAAAACATATTCTGACACTAAATTTCATCATCGCACCCTTGTATATAACCCCATATCTTTATTTCTTTAAAACATATGGTTACATAATTTCACTTATAAATACACATACAAAGTTTTTTTATCATGATATATATTACAAAACAACAAAACTTAGAAATGAGGATATCCGCAGTAGAAACAGAGCGACCGACATAGCCCTACGGATTAGTAAGCTGAAGTGGCAATGGGCCGGCCATATAGCTCGAAGAACCGGCAACCGAGGGGATAAAAGGTTCTCTTGTGGCAACCTCATACCGGCAGGCGAAGTGTAGGGCGTCCCCCCACTAGATGGAGTGACGACCTGTTATGATATGCAGGAAATAGATGGATGTAGGTGGATCAGGACCGTGCTTTGTGGCATTCCTTGGGGGAAGCCTATGTTCAGCAGTGGACTTGTGAAGGGCTGTAATGATGATGATGATGATGACGATATTACATCGCTACCTTATAAAAACATATTAAAATATTCAACAAAATACACCGATTTTACACAACATTTTTAAATTTATATATCTTAAATATCTATCACACATGTTCAAAACAACAATGTTTATTATTGAATATCTCAACTAATAAAATAGTTTAATTCAGAAATTTAAACCTTTAAACAAAATTAATACACTTTAATTCGACTTTAATTTTCTTATATATATCTATTATTATTTCGTTATTTTAACACAAATTTAGTCACTTTTAACACATCACTTATCTTATTATTTATACACAATAATCATCAATTCTATAATCATCAGGGGGTCATTGTAGAAGCGTGCTCGTCGCGACCCCTGCCAGCCCTTTTCAGGGCTGCAATTCTACTAGCTGCGCACCCATGCCAACGAGGGTTAGGGCGTCCCCCCAAGGCGACGCACACCAGCTCGTCCCCGTTGGTGTGGAATGCAGCGCGCAAAGCGGCGATGGGGACCGCCACCCGTCACGCACAGCCCGACACGGCGGAAGGTGGAGGACAGAGTGCAGAGTTGGCACGTGGAATGTTAGAGGAGGCATGAGAGATAAGACGAATGAGTTGATCGAGATAATGAAAGAAAGAGAATTAGATGTCGTGTGTATGTCGGAGACCAAACGGAAGGGCAGTGGTACTGAAGAGCTCCCTGGCGGGGCGTTAGCTCTATGGTCCGGAGTCCCGGAGAGCGAGAACGCCTGCCAGGGAGTGGGGGTGCTGCTGTCTTCTCGGTTGGTCGATGTTATGACTGAATATAAGGTTGTGAACCCAAGACTTCTCTGGGTTCGCTTTAAATTGGGACTGACGAAGTTATTCCTTTTGGCTGTTTATGCGCCGGTAGCTTCGTCGTCCAGGGCTGAGCTGGAGGAGTTTTGGGAGAATGTAAGAGAAGTTCTAGATTTGGCTAGGGGAAACGAAAGAATTGTTGTATGCGGTGATTTGAATGGATGGGTTGGTACCGCTCGACCAGGGTACGAGTCGGTACTTGGAAAGTTTGGCGATAAAAGGGTTAATGATGCTGGCAAGCTTATACTGGCGGTGTGCAAGGAAAAGGGTCTTCTTGTGACAAACACTATGTTTAATCACAAGAAAATCCATATGTATACTAGAGAACGAAAGAATGAGAGAAGTATGATCGATTTGTTCCTGGTGGATGACCGACTGCGAAAACAGGTGATGGATACGCGAGTGTTCAGGGGTGCTGACCTGGGAACGGATTACTATCTAGTGATTACTAGATTTAGGGGTCTGTTCGCGGGTTGGCGCTATCGGACGGCAGTAACAGAACCACAGTTGGTCTGTCGCATCCAAAGCTGGAAGCTTCAGGAAGCGGATACTAGGGACAAATATCATGCGAGGGTAGCCGAAAAGCTTGACACCATCGATGGCAGAAACGAATTTGTAAAAAGAACATGGCAGAACCTTAGGGATGGAATGGTAAGTGCAGCGGAAGAAGTGTGTGGCACAATAAAAAGAGGCAGTAGTAAAAGAAGAGATGCATGGTGGAATGATGAAGTGAAAGAAGCTGTAAAGAAGAAGAAGAAAGCATGGTTAGACTACTTGGCCTCTAGTAATGATAAGGATATGAGAGAGAAGATGAAAGAAAGATATAGGCTGCAGAAAGTTCACACGAAAGCACTGATTGAGGAAGTGCGTGAAAGGTGTAGAATGGAAGCGGACGAAAGGTTGTCGCACAACTTTAAGGAGAACTCCAAACTCTTCTGGAAAGAGGTTGGAAGGGCCCGAAGTGGTGCGACGGCCTTAAGAATGAACAAAGTGCTTTCGAGAACTAATGACGTCCTCTCAGAAAAATCGGACGTCATGCAGCGATGGAGCGAATTTTATAGAGAAATGTATGGGTGTGATGATCTTAGTGAGGGATCCGGGGATGACGCCGTGACTGGTACGCCAGACCCGGACCTCGATGACACTGAGGTCATCACTATGAAGGAGATTGAACGTGCGATTCGAAGTTTGAAATGCGGTAAGGCTGCGGGACTAGACAGAGTTACTGCTGAAATGGTCAAGTATGGTGGGCATCGCGTCTGGGACAGCTTTCATCTGCTGTGCAATTTGTGCTGGCGGACGGGGGATGTCCCGGATGATTGGCGATCCGCAGTCATTGTGCCTTTATATAAAGGTAAAGGTTCACATTTTGACTGCGGGTGCTATCGGGCGATCAGCTTGACCAGTTTAGCAAGTAAAGTTTACTCGAAGGTTTTGACACGTAGGATGCAAGAGAAATCGGAAAGATTTCTATGGGAGGCACAATGCGGATTTAGACCTGGAAGAGGATACACGGATCAAATGTTTTCTCTCCGCATGATCACGGAAAAGCTTCTGGCTGCTAACCAGAAGATTTTCTGTGCTTTTGTGGATCTTGAGAAAGCATTTGATAAGGTTGTAAGGAAGAAAATGTGGGAACTGTTGCCGGGGTATGGTGTGGATGGTCAATTGCTAAGGGCTGTGCAGTCTCTTTACTGTGACTGTAAAGCCTGTGTGCGGGTAGGGCATGACCTGTCACCCATGTTTAACGTCCAAGCGGGCGTAAAGCAGGGTTGTGTCATGTCTTCCTGGCTGTTCATACTGTATCTCGACAGCTGTTTACAAAAGCTGAAAGATAGTTGTTTGGGTGTGAAATTGGGTGACATAAAAGTAAATTGTCTGCTGTATGCTGATGATGCAGTGCTTATTGCACCATCAGAGGCAGAACTGCGGGCATTAGTCACGTGTATGAAAGAGGAATGTGAAATTAAAGGTCTCCGTTTGAATGCTAATAAAACTAAGGTTCTGGTATTTGAAAGGGACGAAGAGAGAACGAAGTGTGAAATATGGGTAAATCAGGAATATCTAGAACAGGTAAATGAAATTGTATACTTGGGGAGTGCTTTTAGCCGGGATGGAAGATGTGATTTAGATGTGGACAGGCGTGTCGCTGCCGGGAACAAAGTCAATGATGCCCTGACTGCGTTAGTCAAAAGGCGAGGCGTAGCGAAGAGTGCACGCCTTGCAATACATAACGCAGTGTTGGTACCGACTTTGTTATATGGCAGCGAAACCTGGGTATGCCAGAAGAAGCATAAAAGTAAGTTGAATGCAGTGGAGATGCGATCTCTTCGTAAAATGTGCGGCGTTACCATGGCCGACCGAAAGCGAAACGAAGAGATTCGCAATATGGCAGGTTTAAAAGATGACCTTATCACGAAAATTGATAAGGGCGTGCTTCGGTGGTATGGGCACGTTGGGCGAATGAGTGAAGACCGAATGGTGAAGAAAATATATAGCGCGAAAG